TCCCAGGCCTGCTGGTGCTGCCCACGGCGGTGCCAGCAGTGAGGAGGCAGCGCGGCTGCAGCTGGAGATACAGGTCGATATTTGCGTCGCCGAGCCCGCCGTGAAGATCGGGAGACCAGCGGAGCCGAGGGCGAGCCTGCGGTCAAGCGCCCAGCCCTTCCGTTCGAGGCGCACGCCGCTGCGGAGCGGGGCCACGCCGTACGTACCCTTCCGCCAGCTGAGCTGCGAGGAGACGGCCGAGGAGGTGCTTGCGGCGCTGGACTGCGGGCCCCTGGCTCCCGTTGACAGGGCTGAGCTTGGCCCTCCCCGTGACGGGGCTTGGACGGCAGACGTGGAGCAGGAGGGAGTCGGCGCAGCTGCCCTCCTTGTGCCGTGTCGTGCCGAGTGGCCCCAGGTGGGCGGTGCTGCAGGCGCTGGAGCGCCGCCGCCGCCGCTGGAGCACCTGGGAGGCCCAACTGGAGAGCAGGGCGACAGCAGGCACGGCGAGGGCGAGAGCGCCGAGGGGAGCCAGGACAGCACGGTATGCTCCGAGACCCTCTCCGCCGCCACCGCCGAGCGCCGCGATGCTGTCACGCAATGCCTGCTAGATAACGATGCTGCGCTCCTCCGATGGGGCATCGGAAGCGTCGAGAGCGTTGAGGTCGACGAAGGCTCCGTGGGCGGCGACAGCAGTTCCCACGTCTCCTCAGTGTTTGGGGTCTTCAGGGACTACGGGCCCGACCACGGCCAGTTCCTCATCGACGAGTTCTCCGACGGCAGCGAGCGCGCTGCCGAGTACGACCTCGAGCGCGCCGCATGGCTAGCCCAGGGCTCGCCGAGCTTCGCCGAGCAGTGCGCTCGGCTGGAGCGCAGCAGCCACTTCGAGGATGATTTCGAGTGGGGACTTCTCAGGGTTCTGAGTACGCGCGAGGCTGTTCTTGGCAGAAGCGTCCGCTGGTTGCTTAGTCAGTGTTCTCCTGCTGGGAATGTGATCGCGCGTTGAGGGTGTGAGTGGGTGGCCTTCTGCATTTGCATGCGTACGTGCTTGTTGCAGTCTGTGCCCGCTTGCACCGCAGATGAGTACGCGCGAGGCTGTTCTTGGCAGAAGCGTCCGCTGGTTTGCGTAGTCAGTGTTCTCCTGCTCGGAATGTGATCGCGCGTGGAGGGTGTGAGTGAGTGGCCTTCTGTATTTGCATGCGTGCGTGCTTGTTGCAGTCTGCGCCCGCTTGCACTGCAGATTTTCCTCCTGTATGTCCCTTGGTACGGGAGATGCCCTATAGACGGGGGTAGAGCTTCGGACGTGTCGAGCTGCGCCTCGGGGCCGCAGCGCCCTCGAGGCAGGAGTTTTCCGACGTCGTCGAGGCTCTCGGGGCCGAAGCGCCCTCCTCCTGTCTTGGGAAGGCCCCTGTGGGCCAGGGCCCCTCACGTGGGCCTGGGCCCTCAGTGGGCTCTTTTCGTCGCTATGGGCCCCGCGTCAACAGACACACAGACGCACAGACACACATGCACACAGACACGCAGACGCACAGACACACAGACACACAGGCACAGACACACAGACACACAGACACACAGACACACAGACACACATACACACAGACACACAGACACACAGACACACCGACACACCGACACACAGGCACACAGACACACAGACACACAGACACACAGACGCACAGACAATTCCGTAGCCATTTTGGCTCAAGCCGTGCCTGGGCGCGCTCGGGCAAGATGGCGCGGGAGAGTCTGCGCGGGGTGGCTGGTGCCCGCTTCGCTGCAGACCGCCTTGTGCAGCGGCTGACGCGTGAGCTGGCAGAGGCCCGGGGCGAGGCCGCCAGGCTCCGCGAGCTGCTCGAGGCGAAGGTCGACTGCGAGGGGGGCCCCGAGGTGCTGCGGCGCGAGGCGATCGCGAGGCCTGTCCTGGGGGCCCGCGTCGCCGGCAGACCCGAGGCCCCAGCAGCTAGGCGGCGGCGCAACGTGGCCCGGCACGCCGCTTCCTACCCGCTGGCCGGAGCGGAGCCCGCCGCGCGGCGCAAGGCCGAGCGCGGGCCCCGCCCGGGAGCAGCTCCCAGGCCTGCTGGTGCTGCCCACGGCGGTGCCAGCAGTGAGGGGGCAGCGCGGCTGCAGCTGGAGATACAGGTCGATATTTGCGTCGCCGAGCCCGCCGTGAAGCTCGGGAGACCAGCGGAGCCGAGGGCGAGCCTGCGGTCAAGCGCCCAGCCCTTCCGTTCGAGGCGCACGCCGCTGCGGAGCGGGGCCGCGCCGTACGCACCCTTCCGCCAGCTGAGCTGCGAGGAGACGGCCGAGGAGGTGCTTGCGGCGCTGGACTGCGGGCCCCTGGCTCCCGTTGACAGGGCTGGGCTTGGCCCTCCCCGTGATGGGGCTTGGGCGGCAGACGTGGAGCAGGAGGGGGTCGGCGCAGCTGCCCTCCTTGTGCCGTGTCGTGCCGAGTGGCCCCAGGTGGGCGGCGCTGCAGGCGCTGGAGCGCCGCCGCCGCCGCTGGGGCACCTGGGAGGCCCAACTGGAGAGCAGGGCGACAGCAGGCACGGCGAGGGCGAGAGCGCCAAAGGGGGGCCAGGACAGCACGGTATGCTCCGAGACCCTCTCCGCCGCCACCGCCGAGCGCCACGATGCTGTCGCGCAATACCTGCTAGATAACGATGCTGCGCTCCTCCGATGGGGCATCGGAAGCGTCGAGAGCGTCGAGGTCGACGAGGGCTCCGTGGGCGGCGACAGCAGTTCCCACGTCTCCTCCGTGTTTGGGGTCTTCAGGGACTACGGGCCCGACCACGGCCAGTTCCTCATCGACGAGTTCTCCGACGGCAGCGAGCGCGCTGCCGAGTGCGACCTCGAGCGTGCCGCATGGCTAGCCCAGGGCTCGCCGAGCTTCGCCGAGCAGTGCGCTCGGCTGGAGCGCAGCAGCCACTTCGAGGATGATTTCGAGTGGGGACTTCTCAGGGTTCTGAGTACGCGCGAGGCTGTTCTTGGCAGAAGCGTCCGCTGGTTGCTTAGTCAGTGTTCTCCTGCTGGGAATGTGATCGCGCGTTGAGGGTGTGAGTGAGTGGCCTTCTGCATTTGCATGCGTACGTGCTTGTTGCAGTCTGTGCCCGCTTGCACCGCAGATGAGTACGCGCGAGGCTGTTCTTGGCAGAAGCGCCCGCTGGTTTGCGTAGTCAGTGTTCTCCTGCTCTGAATGTGATCGCGCGTTGAGGGTGTGGGTGAGTGGCCTTCTGTATTTGCATGCGTGCGTGCTTGTTGCAGTCTGTGCCCGCCTGCGCCGCAGATTTTCCTCCTGTATGTCCCTTGGTACGGGAGATGCCCTATAGACGGGGGTAGAGCTTCGGGCGCGTCGAGCTGCGCCTCGGGGCCGCAGCGCCCTCGAGGCAGGAGTTTTCCGACGTCGTCGAGGCTCTCGGGGCCGATGCGCCCTCCTCCTGTCTTGGGAAGGCCCCTGTGGTCCAGGGCCCCTCACGCGGGCCTGGGCCCTCAGCGGGCCCCTTTTGCCTTTATAGGCCCCGCGTCAACAGACGCACAGACGCACAGACACACAGACACACAGACACACAGACACACAGACACACAGACACATCCGTAGCCATTTTGGCTCAAGCCGTGCCTGGGCGCGCTCGGGCAAGATGGCGCGGGAGAGTCTGCGCGGGGTGGCTGGTGCCCGCTTCGCTGCAGACCGCCTTGTGCAGCGGCTGACGCGCGAGCTGGCTGAGGCCCGGGGCGAGGCCGCAAGGCTCCGCGAGCTGCTCGAGGCGAAGGTCGACAGCGAGGGGGGCCCCGAGGTGCTGCGGCGAGAGGCGATCGCGAGGCCTGTCCTGGCGGCCCGCGTCGCCGGCAGACCCGAGGCCCCAGCAGCCAGGCGGCGGCGCAACGTGGCCCGGCACGCCGCTTCCTGCCCGCTGGCCGGAGCGGAGCCGGCCGCATGGCGCAAGGCCGAGCGCGGGCCCCGCCCGGGAGCAGCTCCCAGGCCTGCTGGCGCTGCCCGCGGCGGTGCCAGCCGTGAAGTGGCGGCGCGGCCGCCGCTGGAGATATAATTCGAGATCTGCGTCGCCGAGCCTGCCGTGAAGCTCGGGCGACCAGCGGGGCCGAGGGCGAGCCTGCGGTCATGCGCCCAGCCCTTCCGATCGAGGCGCACGCCGCTGCGGAGCGGGGCCACGCCGTGCGTTCCCTTCCGCCAGCTGAGCTGCGAGGAGACCGCCGAGGAGGTGCTCGCGGCTTTGGACTGCGGGCCCCCGGCTCCCGTTGACAGGGCAGAGCCTGGCCCCCCCCGTGACGGGGCTTGGAAGGCAGACGTGGTGCAGGAGGGGGGCGGCGCAGCTGCCCTCCAGGTGCCGTGTCGTGCCGAGAGGCCCCAGGTGGGCGGCGCTGCAGGCGCTGGAGCGCTGCCGCCGCCGCTGGGGCACCTGGGAGGCCCAACTGGAGAGCAGGGCGACAGCAGGCACGGCGAGGGCGAGAGCGCCGAGGGGGGCCAGGACAGCACGGCGTGCTCCGCGACCCCCTCTGCCGCCACCGCCGAGCGCCACGATGCTGTCGCGCAGTGCCTGCTAGATAACTATGCTGCGCTCCTCCGAGGGGGAATCGGAAGCGTCGAGCGCGATGAGGACGTCGAAGGCTCCGTGGGCGGCGATTGCAATTCCTACGTCTCCTCCGTGTCAGGGGTCTTCAGGGATTACGGGCCCGACCACGGCCAGTACCTCATCGACGAGTTCTCCGACGGCAGCGAGCGCGCTGCCGAGTACGACCTCGAGCGTGCCGCATGGCTAGCCCAGGGCTCGCCGAGCTTCGCCGAGCAGCGCGCTCGGCTGGAGCGCAGCAGCCACTTCGGAGATGAGTTCGAGTGAGGACTTCTCAGTGTTCAGAGTACGCGCGAGGCTGTTCTTGGCAGAAGCGTCCGCTGGTTTATTGTCAGTGTTCTCCTGCTCTGAATGTGATCGCGCGTTGAGGGTGTGAGTGAGTGGCCTTCTGTATTTGCATGTGTGCGTGCTTGTTGCAGTCTGTGCCCGCTTGCACAGCCACTTCGAGGATGATTTCGAGTGAGGTCTTCTCAGGGTTCTGAGTACGCGCGAGGCTGTTCTTGGCAGATGCGTTCGCTGGTTCGCTTGTCAGCGTTCTCCTGCTCGGAATGTGATCGCGCGTCGAGTGTGTGAGTGAGTGGCCTTCTGTATTTGCATGAGTATGTGCTTTTTGCAGTCTGTGCCCGCTTGCACCGCAACTTCCTCCTGTATGTTCCTTGGTGCGGGAGATGCCCTATAGACGGGGGTAGAGCTTCGGACGCGTCGTGCCGCGCCTCGGGGCCGCAGCGCCCTCGAGGCAGGAGTTTTCCGACGTCGTCGAGGCTCTCGGGGCCGATGCGCCCTCCTCCTGTCTTGGGAAGGCCCCTGTGGGCCTGGGCCCCTCACGTGGGCCTGGGCGCGAAAAGAGCCTTTATAGGCCCCGCGTCACACAGACACACGACACACAGACACACAGACACACAGACACACAGACACACAGACACACATACACACAGACACACAGACACACAGACACACAGACACACAGACACACAGACACACAGGCACACAGGCACACAGGCACACAGGCACACAGGCACACAGGCACACAGGCACACAGGCACACAGACACAGAGGCACAGAGGCACAGAGGCACAGAGGCACAGAGACACAGGACACAGAGACACAGAGACACAGAGACACAGAGACACAGAGACACAGAGACACAGAGACACAGAGACACAGAGACACAGAGACACAGAGACACAGAGACACAGAGACACAGAGACACAGAGAGACACAGAGACACAGAGACACAGAGACACAGAGACACAGAGACACAGAGACACAGAGACACAGAGACACAGAGACACAGAGACACAGAGACACAGAGACACAGAGACACAGAGACACAGAGACACAGAGACACAGAGACACAGAGACACAGAGACACAGAGACACAGAGACACAGAGACACAGAGACACAGAGACACAGAGACACAGAGACACAGAGACACAGAGACACAGAGACACAGAGACACAGAGACACAGAGACACAGAGACACAGAGACACAGAGACACAGAGACACAGAGACACAGAGACACAGAGACACAGAGACACAGAGACACAGAGACACAGAGACACAGAGACACAGAGACACAGAGACACAGAGACACAGCGACGCAGCGACGCAGCGACGCAGCGACGCAGCGACACAGCGACGCAGGAGACGCAGGAGACACAGGAGACACCGGAGACACAGGAGACACAGAGACACAGGGACACAGAGACACAGAGACACAGAGACACAGAGACACAGAGACACAGAGACACATGGGCACATATGCACAGAGACACAGAGACACAGAGACACAGAGACACAGAGACACAGAGACACAGAGACACAGAGACACAGAGACACAGAGACACAGAGACACAGAGACACAGAGACACAGAGACACAGAGACACAGAGACACAGAGACAGAGACACCGAGACACAGAGACACGAGACACCGAGACACCGAGACACCGAGACACACGAGACACCGAGACACAGAGACACAGAGACACAGACCGAGACACCGAGACACCGAGACACCGAGACACCGAGACACAGAGACACAGAGACACAGAGACACAGAGACACAGAGACACAGAGACACAGAGACACAGAGACACAAAGACACAGAGACACAGAGCCACAGAGCAACAGAGCACAGAGCCACAGAGCCACAGAGCCACAGAGCCACAGAGCCACAGAGCCACAGAGACACAGAGACACAGAGACACAGACACACAGAGATACAGAGACACAGAGACACAGAGACACAGAGACACAGAGACACAGAGACACAGAGACACAGAGGCACAGAGACACAGAGCCACAGAGCCACAGAGCCACAGAGCCACAGAGCCACAGCCACAGAGACGACACAGAGACACAGAGACACAGAGCCACAGAGCCACAGAGCCACACAGCCACACAGCCACAGAGCCACAGAGCCACAGAGCCACAGAGCCACAGAGCCACAGAGCCACAGAGCCACAGAGCCACAGAGCCACAGAGCCACACAGCCACAGAGCCACACAGCCACAGAGCCACAGAGCCACAGAGCCACAGAGACACAGAGACACCGAGACACAGAGACACAGAGGCACCGAGACACAGAGACACAGAGACACAGAGACACAGAAACACAGAGACACAGCGACTCAGAAACACAGAGACACAGCGACACAGCGACACAGCGACACAGCGACAGAGACACAGAGACACAGAGACACAGAGACACATAGACACAGAGACACAGAGACACAGAGACACATAGACACAGAGGCACAGAGACACAGAGACACAGGGACACAGAGACACAGAGGCACAGAGGCACAGAGACACAGAGACACAGAGACACAGAGACACAGAGACACAGAGACACAGAGACACAGAGACACAGAGACACAGAGACACAGAGACACAGAGACACAGAGACACATAGACACACAGACACAGAGACAAAGACACAGAGACACAGAGACACAGAGACACAGAGACACAGAGACACAGAGACACATAGACACAGAGACACAGAGACACAGAGACACAGAGACACAGAGACACAGAGACACAGAGACACAGAGACACAGAGACACAGAGACACAGAGACACAGAGACACAGAGACACACAGAGACACAGAGACACAGAGACACAGAGACACAGAGACACAGAGACACAGAGACACAGAGACACAGAGACACAGAGACACAGAGAGACACAGAGACACAGAGACACAGAGACACAGAGACACAGAGACACAGAGACACAGAGACACAGAGACACAGAGACACAGAGACACAGAGACACAGAGACACAGAGACACAGAGACACAGAGACACAGAGACAGAGACACAGACACAGAGACACAGAGACACAGAGACACAGAGACACAGAGACACAGAGACACAGAGACACAGAGACACAGAGACACAGAGACACAGAGACACAGAGACACAGAGACACAGAGACACAGAGACACACAGAGACACA